GGGAGTGGCGGCACCGGGGGCCCCGCCCCCCCCGGCCCCTGCCACAGCGGCAGGGCCCTGCTGGCAGACGGGCGGTCCTGTGGGCCGGCACCACCCTGCCGTGAGCACCCCTGCGAGTATGCCTGTGCATCTGAGGGCACTGGTTACCGCTGCCTATGCCCTGCTGGGCACCGTCTGGCACGTGATGGGCACTCGTGTGAGGACGTGGATGAGTGTGCTGAGGCAGGCGGGGCCCCATGTGAGCAGCTGTGCGAGAATGCGCCAGGCGGGTACCGGTGCCGCTGCCGTCTGGGCTACGCAGGCGATGGGGCAGGGGGCTGCGGCGACGTGGATGAGTGTGAGTTGCCCGGCGTCTGCCACCAGATGTGTGTCAACTACGAGGGTGGCTTCGAGTGCTTCTGCGCTGAGGGCTATGAGCTGCAGGCCGATGGTGTTAGCTGTGCCCCACTTGGTGCTGCCCCAGGGCCTCCCTTCGCCTGGCCCCGGCCCCCAGAAGAGGAGGAAGAGGAGGAGGAGGAGGAGGAGGAGGAGGAAGACCTGGCCTACAGCTGGACCCCCGGTGGGACACCCCAGGCCCGGCCTGGCACAGCTAGAGCCCCCCGAGCACCTCCCACCCCACCCGCAGCTGCCTGGGTTCCCCTGCTCAGGTCTCCTTACCCCCATGGTACTGGGGACACCTGGATTCCCCATGGAGTTGAGGATGCTTGGGTGCCCCCCGGCCAGCCACACCTTGCTGAGGATATCTGGGTTCCCCCCGGCCGGCCCCAGAGAGCAGAGGACACCTGGGTTCCCCCCAGCCGGCCCCACGGAGCTGAGGGTGCCTGGGTTCTCCCTGTCGAGCCCCATGGAGCCGAGGACTCCTGGGTTCCCCTCAGCCAGGCCCACGGAGCCGAGGACTCCTGGGTTTTCCCCAGTGACTCCCCCCAAGCCCAGTCCCCGCTACTCCCCAACCCTGCCCACAGAGCCAGGGACACCTGGGTTCTCCCTGCCCAGCCCCCCACCCCACACGGGGTCTGGGGGGCCTGGCTTCCCCTCACCAGGCCCCCCACATCCCACAGAACCAGGGATGCCTGGGTTCTCCCTGCCCAGTCCCACCCCTCTCAGGACACCTGGGTTCCAGTGATCAGATCTCCAGAACCCCAGGGCGTCGAGGACACCTGGGTCCCCCTCACCCCCAGGCCCAGAATACAGACCCCCTCACTCCCTGACCCCCCACACAGGGCCAGGGACACCTGGGTTCTCCCTGCCCGTCCCCCCAGAGCCAGGGGCCCCCCACTCCCCCACAGCCCCC